AATTTCATGCACCAGGCTTCTAGTATGTGATAAAATGACAGAAAACTACATACACTTTTTAAATATGTCAATCCTGGCTTTTACACTATACTATACTTATATGCGATTTAACTAATGGTAGAAACTGGTGATGGATACCGAGGACCTGTCAGTATTATCTTTGCAACTTCTTATGAATATATAATTATTTCAAAATAATTCAAAAGTAACTATCAAAATTAAAATGTTGTTTTTTCAAACAGAAGTCTATTCATAAAATTTAGTTGAAAAGGAAACATTGTGAGTATCCCCTAGTGCCAGGCACAGAGAAAGACAACTCATATCTTCAACCAGCTCTCTCTTTAGTGTCAGAAGGTAAGTCAGACCATGTCACCCAGGAAGGTAATATGATTCTGTACTCTGAGGAATGAATTCTGCTCACCAAAACCAATACCTGCATCAAGCTGCTGCTCCCCGTTCATGTCCACAGCACACGGACTATCTCCTTCCCATACAAAGGGCCTTACAGTTCTGCTATGATCTGAAGATTACTTGAAGGTCTCAAGCATCCGTCAATGGGCATCCAAGGGTCCAAATAAAAGGAAAGTGCTAAAAATAAAAAAAGAACATATAAATAGCCTGAAGCCCAAGTGTGTTTACTCATTCATAAGACATGGCACTCCAGGGACAGAGGGGGAGCAGAACCCGCAAGAAAAAAAAAAAGACATGGCACTCCAGTGGGTTGAGAGGGCAGATAAAACAAAAACACATTGGCAGAATAGATGAGATGAGAGAAAATATCAATACCTTTTCTAATTTTGAAGACTGTGTGTGTGTGTATGTGTGTGTGTGTGTGTGTGTGTGTGTGTGTGTGGAGAGAGCATGCTATCAAGATCCTGATATCTATAAATCACAAGAGATTAACACATTTGAATCACTACCCTTTAAACTTAGACTATAATACTTAGCTCCATAATTCCTACCCATAAAAACTCTAACTCTTACTGAATTTATGGGGTGGAGGGTTACCTTTCAATGTTCTGTCTTACTGAATGAATGATACTTAAGATACAGTATATTACTTTATTCAGTTTTCCATTCCACTTACCTAAAATATTATGCAGAACCAAAAAGTATCAACTATATTAGTTTACAATTATACTTATAAAAGAGAATCCCTCCAAAATAAGCTCTGAACCCATTTATTCTTTTTAAAAGTTTTATTGGAATATAATTCACATATAAAACCACTTCAAGTATACAATTCAATCATTTTTAGTAAGTTTGCAGTTGTGTAACCATCACTAGAATCCAATGTTAGAATATTTCCATCACTCTGTGTTCACTGTTTACTTGGCTATGTGACTTAACAAGTGACTTGACTTATTTGTGTCAATGGCATCATTTATGAAAGGAAAAAAACTGTACCTACTTAACTGGACAGAAGAGCACTTAGCATAGAGCTGGCTACATAGTAAACACTGAGTTAACTATTCAAGTTACAATGGCACTAATTTAGTGTATCATCTCTACATACAGTATAAAGTCTTAACACTTCATCATGGGTTTGATATAACAAAGCTAGTACTAATTAAATACCTGTAGGTTCGCTATGCTTTGAAGATGTCATCCACTGCTTATATTCATAAACTCTTAAAATATGCCAGCATATTTTGTACAGAGAACCACACAGTACAAAATAATAACAACAGCAACAACAAATTAAGTTTCAAAGCCAAAAAGATATGAGGGGAGAAATGCAGGTCTTATGTAGTTGAAAAGCGAACACTGTGATATTCTTTCTCTTTTTTTTAAAGCAGAGAAGAAACTTTATTCTGTTTTTAATTTAATTGTTTTCCATCATCATTTATCCCCCCATACCCTCTTCTACCTTCCCCAAACCCCTCTCCCTCCCACAATCATCACCCTGTTGTCCATGTCCACGAGTTCTTTTTTGTTCTTTTTTGTTCAATCTTACATTACTTAATTTTAACCAAGGAATAATCAATCAGCTCATGGTGTTAATAGGATCATGAGAAATAAACTGATGAAGCATTTTGCTGTGGAACATCTGTTAGATCTCTCTCTTTATTGCTAGTCTGCTATCTTCTTATGTAGTGAAGAAGGGAAAAAAAGCCATAAAATATCCAGCTTAAAATATGGACATGTAATTCACCTTTCATTTTTTTCCTTTTATTCCATCTATTTCCAATTCATGTTAAATTGTTTTACGCTCTTTATTTTATTGTTGAGTTTGGTAGTATAATTCCTTTTGTGGTGACCAGAATACATCAAAAGTTATTTATTTAAATAACTTTTCATGAACTAACTGATCTGGACCTTGCTCATCTTATTTAGAATATTTCAGTAAACTGAACAGATGCCTATACATTTATAGGGGATGCTGATAAGACTTGAAGCCAGAATGAGTCATACTAAAATCTGAAACACTTCTAAGAAATATAAATAAAAATGTAAAAAGCAAAGTGTACAAAACAAGCTTTGATTACACACACACACACACACACACACACACACACACACAACCCAGGTAGAATAACATCAAACTGAATTCACTATTTCATTTTTAGTGATACATCAAATAAAACCACCATGGAATAATTAACCTTTTAACAGATTTTTTAAAAGATCTAAAGCCATCTGAACAACATCTAGTCCACACATGCAATCCACACTCTAAGCCTATACTACCTTTAGTGTTAATGAACTTTGTTTCCAAGGCTAAAATGAAACAGTAGGAATATGTGAAAAGTTACAATAATGCCAGAGAGACTTCTGTAGGATGATTCCTGAGCCAAATGATCTGACAAATAACTTTTAAAGCACTTAGGAAGGACAGGAAGTCAGTGTGGCTCTAAAGACATATGTATCCAGTATGTATGATGGTTGCAACAAAATACTTTAATTCAATACACATTTACCTGGCATTTAGATAGATAGATAGATAGATAGATAGATAGATAGATAGATAGAAAGAAATGAAAAATTCCCATTGAAATCTTTGAATTTACACTCCTATCCCCCTACCCCCTACTCAACAGATGAAGGTCCAATAATAATTTCAAATACACTCTTAAATTTGGTTAAGGGCAAACATTCAGCAAATCAGATGCTCTATTTCTGGCAGATCTGCAGTTGACCCTAACCTTGACAGGAAGCTAGTGGTACAGTCACTGCATTTTTTATTTCCCAACAGCTATAGATTTCTGTTGACTTTTCACTCTGTACAAGTCAATCATCACTTCTTGATCTTGTATATGTCCTATTTGACAGACTATCTTAATTAAATGTTGTGCTTCCATCTGTCAAATGCCAAATAACTTACCTATTAGGGGTAGAGATCTATTGCTTCATTAGTTGTTTGTTGCTGTTGTTTTTAATCTACTGCTACATGTCTAACTAGGGAGATAAAAATATAAGTCTGACAGCCCACCAGTGTAGCTCAGTGGTTAAGCAACAACCTATGAACCAGAAGGTCGAGGTTCAATTCCCATTCGGGGCACATGCTCAGCTCCGGTTGTGGGCTCAATCCCCAGTGGGGAACATGCAGGAGGCAGCCGATCAATGATTCTCTCTCATCACTGATGTTTCTATCTCTCTCCCTCTTCCTTCCGCTCTGAAATCCATAAAAATATACTTCCTCTGTCCCATAATAATAGTAGCAAGTGAATATTTAAACGGAAATTATTGGCGAATGCAGCTGTAAGTTATGTTGTAGCGCAAAATTGCGAAGCCTTCAATCAAAATCAATGTTTCATGACATCTGTCATTTGTTTTGACACATCTTTCAATTTTTAGGTTAATCTAATTATTACGAATTATAACTATTTTTCTAATTTCATCC